ATTAGCCATCTATCCAGTGCATTGTGATTGGCCGAATACCTCAAGCGTGTGACAGAAATGTTACTTCCCTTACCATATTGTGATGCCGACGAGACAAAAACATTAAAACCCATTATAAACGAGGCATTTGTTGCATCCAGTGGGGACATAATTACGGATTATAATGACTTATACTGTCTTTTTACACGTTGCATTGCATCGCGCCGCGTAAACATAAAACCATGTCTGCATTTGTGATCAGAGAAATGACCAACAACAAGCGCTACTCTACACTGCTCAAAACTTGCGTTTGAATCGTCAGTGGCAAATTCTTTAAATATAAAAACGTACTTACAGTCTGTGAGTCAGAACAGCCGGCATTGTAGTCTACTCTACCAGGATCAGGAAACAGTCCTCCATAAAATGCCCTGGACACATCTGAATATTTGGGTTGAAGTGTTCTGGAACAGTGTTGTAAATACAACTTAACCACTGATTTCTAGTCGTGTCCTCTTTTGGAAGGCCAAACAAAGTCGTATCGCTTTCACAACGAAACACAGCACCTTAACGACATGGCGGCGGTGGCAACAATACTACAGCGAGAATAAAAGTTGCGCCTTCTTTCTTTGCGTGAACATTTGGGCGGCGTTATGCAAATCTTCCCACATCATGATGTAGACATGTGGGGGCGTGTTAGAACGAGCCGTTTTAGGTAGGCGTGGTTGACTCTGAACTTTTATAAAGAATATCTCTTTGGATTTGAGACTTTAGTCTTTGCAACTTTACAGATCTTCTTTATGCACCAACGCTTGTAACACTCCAAAGAGAAAGGAAAAATTTTAATCGCATCATATGACCCCTTTAATAGGTAGTTTGGTATTGGTTAATATTTATTAGTTTTACATGAAAATTAAAGTTGATTCAGAGGCAGAGCAAGGGATTTCATTGCATTTTGATCAAATATTATTAAAACAAACACTTTTATCTGGAATACTGTCCACTGATGAGTCATTCACAGTAAAACCAGGAGCGTCTATTAAAAATTAAATGAAAACATAATAAATAGAAATGTCATGTTTGCTTTAAGATTTCATGCAAAAGCTATAGACTAAAACAACAAATACTAACTAGCTTAGCTAACTAATATCGCTCGAATAATTTAACAAAAGTTGGTAAACATTTTCAAGCAAACTTAAGAAAGAAACAGCAGAGGCATAAAATGCAGGATGCCATTTTGTAATCATGGTGGTTGAAAGCGAGTGAGTCACCGTGTCAGAATATGGAGAGTGTGCGGGTTGCTGGTTGTCACCGAGGCATCTCTGAATGGAGCATCATCACCCCCTCAAACTCAGACGGGTGCTCTGCACAGGGACCTCAAGACTACGTGTGATATGACGTGCTCCTGCTCTGCGACAACAGTTCGTGGGGGGTTTGTTCTATGCACCAACTAAAAATTAAAAACATGCAGTTGGGTCCAAAAGTCTGAGAAAATGCAGTTTGTATTTCTGATTTAATGCAACTTTTAATTACAAATATTGTTGGTAATTTAAGTGAAAAATTGAATGAAAAATATATGTAAATATGATTTTTAAAATGTTTGAATACTAGACTTGTATGACAACAGCAATGGAGCCTGACATGAACAAAACTGCTAACTAAACTCTCTGAAATGAAGATACATTAACATGTGACTCAAAATGACTTGAGATATTAAGTCTTGTTTTCTGTAAAATGTATCAAAATTAAGATTATATGCCTAAAACAAGTGCAAATAATTGCTATTAAAAATTTGGGTAAGAATTTTTTTTCTTTCAGTTATGTTTATTTTTCTGACCCCACTGGCAGAGTTTTCAGCTTAAACTCACTTAGTTTTGATAATTCTCTTTGAAACGAGACTTAATATCCAATGTTGCTTGCAATGTTGTATCTTGATTTGAGAATGTTTACATATTTGTACTGGAAAACAAGTAAATAAATATTAAATAAGAATTTTTTTTCAGTATAAAATAAGCTTTCATTTGTTAATATTAGTTAACTTTAATCTGTATATAACATATAATAATATAACATTAATATTAGCTAATTACATTAGTTATCAAGAACTAACAATGAAAATATTTTAACAACTGAAAACACTATTCAATGGACCTGACTTAACATGAACCAAAAACTATTATTAACAAAGATTAATAAATACTTTAACAAATGCATTGCTTATTTAATGTCAGTTGTTGCATGAACTAATTGTAAAGTATTAAAACAAACTTGGATGATCAAAATCTCCAAGATCAACATCTTGAATTTAAATGGAAGCTGGAAAATCTGGAGTCACTTGATCAGTGTTACAAATCTGGGCTGCGTTTCCCAAAAGCATCGTAAGCTTAGGTTGACCGTAGCTCCATTGGTTTCAATGGGTCTACAATGTAATAGGCTTACAATGCTTTTGGGAAACTAGAAATAGTGCAGAATCCTAACTTTCTGTTTATTCCCAGGTTTAGATGAAAAATCCCAGATTTTCAGTGTTCCAGTGATCCCACTGTATGTGTGTGCTTGTTTGGGCATTTAAATATAGAACATAGAGAGAGAGGCAGAGAGGGGGAGAACACATATATCTAGCGTGATGCTGTTCGCCCCCTATTCTTCGTCACCAGCACACGTATGTACGAGTCCCAGTGGGCTTGTTGCTGGAGGAAGGATAGAACAGATAGTCACCTCTTCCACCTTCATTAAAGAGCTATTTATATTCTCGGGGCTGAAATACTCTGACCTTTCTCATTAAGCGATGTGTCATTTGTGAACACAAACACCCGTGGACATATTGTGAGACGCTTTGGATGTGGGTTAAAAATAGTCGAGCAGCATTATTTGTGCTATCTGGTGATGTCTCAGGGTGGCTTAGTATGTTTTTTTGGCGGATATGTGGTGTCCTGTGGTTCTGCACACACGTCTGACTCTTGAGGTCAACATTCAGTGAATCGCTTACTGCAACATGAGGCAATTGTTTATATAAAATAAATAATGACGTCATTATTGTGAGAACAAGCAAAACATCCATCAATAAATCAGTTTTAGTTTTTAAGCACCATAATTGGGATAAAGTCTGGTTTTAATTTGATTCTGAATGTGTTCACTTTTGGAAATGTATTGATTAGTTGGTTTGCCATGGGCTGTGATTGTCACTCTGAACAAGGGTCATCACCGACAACCAGATGGTCATGACTCATGACAGACTTAACTGCACATATAAATGACAAAGCAAACATTTCTTCCTGCATTTGGGTCTATCTTCTGAAATTCAAGTCAAGTCAAGTCAAGTCTGCTTTATTGTCAATTCTTCCACATGTACAGCACATACACACAGAGAATTGAAATTGTGTTACTCTCAGACCCTTGGGTGCATACAGATCAAATAAATACAGATTAAATACAACTATACAAATATACAAATAAGGTAAAATGTAAAAAAATATATATAAAGCACAAGGCATATGGCAGATAGAGTGCAAACCAGTAAAGTAAACAACAGTGCAGATATAGTGGTTGTAGTGCAAAAAATTATTTGTAGTGCAAAAGAGCTTATTCAGACTTCAATGTTTTCTTTGAAATATTATTCTTATGTTTAGATGTCACCACTGTCATCATGCATTCTGTAAAGCTGCTTTGCATTTATATCTGTATTGTGAAAAGTGCTAGCCTATATATTCAACAAAATCTTTGTTGATTTTTTTTTGGAAAACATAAACCATCATGAATATAACATTACATTAATAGTTTTATAAGATGTTTCCTTTCATTACCTTGAATGTCCTGATTTGTCATTGGCGGTTGTATAAACTGCTGGGTAGATTACCTACAATTTGTAGTTTGTTACTAATTACAGATTACATGATGAAAATTGTAGTTACGTAATCTAGGTTTCTCATTTTATGTAATGTATTCTGACTGCTTTGTAGATTACTTATTACCTAACTTGTTTTTAACTTACCATTAAATGTACCACATTAATATTAAAAAAAAAAAGCTGAAAGAAAATATATTTCATTCTTTGAAATGCATTAAACATTACATAACTTCATGGTTTTCCAAAACGCTTTTTATATCTCTTACACTGGTTGTCTGTCTGTTTAAACGGTCAAAATAAAGTAGATTTTCCCCTAAGCTCCTCCTTTCTTGGTACCTTCGCATACAAACCGCAACGAACTATCAAAGGAATAATAGAAAACCTAAAAGTGGATAACTCTAGTTTTATTCATTTTAAATGCACATAAATCCAAAAAATGTAACACTGGCTGTAACATAAATGCATATTTTTCTTTGAAACATCAGTCCTAAAACGAGCATACTCAGTGCTTTCAGTTTTGCATGACTGTGAAACATTACATTTGAAGCGTTTACATTTCCGATATGATTTGGCGTATAATTACACCGCAATCACACTCTCTATGCTGCATTCTCCATTGTTTGCCTGGATCTGTGAGGGAAAGCCCAGCGCTGGTTGAGGGGCACAACGTGACCTAACAAACAAGGAACCTCCGGGAACACCGTCAGTCCTGAACTATGCGCACATGGGGCCTATCTGAGGGGTCCCGCGAGAAGCGACGCTTTACAAATGACTCTTAAAATGCGCTTTTGCAAATGCCGCTCGGTAAAGCGCATTGACTTGGCATTCGTGCTATGTTTATGATGAAAGTTTACAATATTAGTCACTCAGATGATGCTTAACGCGTTTTATTCATGTGCTCCATCGGCCGTCAGGACACTCCCTGAGCGCGTTTGCTTCGCTTGGGAGGCGGAGACGGGACCCCCGTTGACGTCAGTGGGCCTGTCGGTTTCCTGCAATAGAAAGTGAGGGAAGATAGAGCGAGAGAGGGGAAAAACAGACCTCTGACCGTTGAAACCCTTGACAACAGTTCAGACTGCACCTGTAAGTACTGAAAGTTAAGAAATACACGCGACTTAATAAGCGTTTAGACGCACGGTCCAGTGCGTAGCCAACGCATGCGGTGCGTAAACTCACCTCCAAGAGCTGTTGTTTTGGAACACAATGTTTCCAAAAAGATTGTATGGGTTGTTTAAACTTGTGGGCATGTTTGTGTGAGTTTTACGCTGATTTTGCCTGGTGTCGGTCGGTCTGTACCGAGCCGGCCCGTGTTTTGTATCTCGCCGAGAGCACACGTCTCCAGAATCCTAATACGCGGGGTGTAAATGTTTATCAAGCCCGCAACGCTGCTGGAGAGAGTCTCCGAAGCACCGACCGCGACGGCAGGTAAGCGCCAAAACACCTTCCCTTGACAATAGGATGCAAATGAACGCGTTTCGGCTGGTTTAAATGGCATTTTGTTGTCGGATTATGGAAGTGTTTCTTGTTCAAGTCCTGTTGCAGAGGGGTTTTCCCCGGCTCCGCCCTCTTCATGTGTCTCTTAAAGGCAGTAATGCGCCATTCATCCAGTGCGCACCTAGATTTGGCATTGAACTGTGGCATGTAAGCGTAGTGGCTTTTATTGAAAAACGTGGTGGTTTTGTGTCAGGCTTGGACACATGGTGACTCATCACATATATGCGGGTCTTATAGGTTGTAAGCATGTCAGTTTGTCACTGGCACGGTCTGCCTTACAGGAGCAACCCCTGTTTAGTGCCATCTTTTTTACCATTGCATGCATGCCAAGTAGGCTATGTATGTGTCCCATGTGCAGCAGTTTCTGTTGGCTCTGTTAGACTGGTTTCAGGGTGTTTCCTTATAGCTTGACTAATAGATTCTTTTAACATTTTGCATTCATGCATATTTAGCAGATGCATGGCGAATTTTATTAGTATGTGAATTCTTTGGGAATCAAACCCCCTGAACTTGGCGTTGCTAATCCAGTTATATTCATTCTGAAATAGCATAGTATTGAAATTCTGCAGTAATATTGAAACATTCTAATTCTGATGTAAACAATATTAAAATGATGCTGTAACATTCCAAATCTGCAATAATGTCATATTCAAATTTCAGTTCTGCAATGTCCTGTTCAAATTCTGCAGCAACATTTTGAAACTACAAAATATTTAAATTATTCAGTGACATTGTACCATTTCAGTTTTGAAATGGCTAAATATTTAAATTCTCCAGTAACATTGTAACGTTCCAATTCCGAAAATGATGTAATATTCAAATTCTGCGGTAATATTGCACAATTCCAATATTGAAATGATAAATGTTGGAATGTTATAATGTTACAAATTGAAATATGAATTATTTACTAACATTGTAACATTCCAATTCTGAAATGATGTAACATTCAAATTATTCAGTAACATTCCAGTTATGAAATAACATCATATTAGAATTCTGCGGTAACACCTGTAACATTCCAACTCTGAAATTAAGTCGTATTCAAATTCTACAGTAACATTTTAGCTCTGAAATAACAAAATATTCAAATTCTGCAGTAACATTCAAATTCTTAACACAATATTGAAATTCTGCAGTAACATTGTAACCTTTCAGTTCTGCAGTGTCATATTCAAATTCTGTAGCATTCCAATTCTGAAATAGCCAAATATTTTGATTCTGCAGTAACATTGTAGCATTTCAGTTTTGCAGTGTCATATTCAAATTCTGCAGTAACATTGTATTAACGTGTGTGTATAAATGTATTTTTCCAGTTCTGCTATGGGTAGATGAAATAATATTGAAAAGTAGACATGCAATGTAACATAGGCTACATAATTTTGTTGATTGTTTTATACTTATAATTCAGGAATTACATGTAATATTTCTACTTTTAAATTACACTCGTCACATTACAGAAAGTTTATGGGAAAAAATGTTAACAAGACAACCAGTTACAAGACCAAAGGTACAAGGTTTACACTTTAACAATATATATTCTTATATAAGTATTTGTTGATTTAAAAAAAAAAAGAAAAAACTCGGACACATTATGCATCAATATATTTATAAGGGAGGATTTTATTTGAACACACACTGATTGTCCTATTACAGTATTCCTCAATCCTGGTCCTGGAAAACCTGGTCTCTCTAATCAAACATGCCTAACTCCATGTCCTGAAATGATGCATCAAATAATCCAAAATGCAGTGGAGGAGGGCTTCCTGAACCAGGAGTGAGAAACAGTATTCTAGATGTGTGTGTATGTGTGTGAAACCTGGTGCATGCGCTGTGCTGTGTGTGTGTATGTTGAAATCCTCAGGGAGGTGATGTCATTGCCGTAGAGCTGCACACAGAGGGAAATCATACACACTTGTAGTAAGCGTTATGTAATGTGGTGAGACGGAACATTCGTGTGGAGTCTGGCACATGCCGTGACGGGATGCATGCGGGAATGCATGGGCGAGGCATGTCAGATGTTTGCTTCATGCTACAATGGAGCTGAGGAACATATAGAAACAAAAACCTCCTAAACATTGAAACAAAGAGGATCTTGTGTAGAATGCGGGCTTATTTGCATCTATTCATGCAGAGCCAAAACAATGCCTTTGCCATTTTGAGAGCTGCCGTTTTAAAATGTTTTGAAGACTGGTGATTTTCATCATAAACAGTCATTATTGTAGAGGATATATATCAACCATGCTGATTAATTGGCTATTTATCAGCGTTGATGCAGTCTATGGATAATGCACCTTTCCCCTTTTTAATGTAGTTGAATAATATATATCTCTATCAGTTGACAACAAATTGATGTCCTCGGCTGTTTTTCATTGCATTTATGGTTTTTAATGCTTTAATGCTTTTTTATGGTGTTTTAGGAGGTGTTTTTATTCTATTTAAATGAATAAAATTAATTTTTTAAATACTAAATATCATTGTATCTTCTATTTAGCAAATTCATTTATTTTTCATAGTTATTTAAAACATTTTTGTGGACCCTTTTTTATTGTGCTGTTTGGCTATATATGTTTAAGGGCTGTAAATTGTCTTGACAATATTTTTAATATTTAAAAATATGTCTAATAATGAAATTACTGTGAAATTTTGCTTGTGATGGAGACCCGAATAGCACTTTTAACATTCACCAGAGGGTTTGCAGCACGGCAGAGATGACAGTGTCATTTCTCTGTGTTTGATGTCAGATAGATACAGGTGTGTGTAGAAGTGCAGTTAGTCAATACATCGACGGCAACAGACCATTAAGATCAGAAATCTGATTACTGCTCACACTTCTATATCTGTGTCAGTCCAGCTAAAACATCAGTTCTTATTGACAAAACTAGTGATCTGTCACAGTAGCTGGAGCTAGAGAAAGAGGAAGCCACGCTTGTGTTGTTTCCAGCAGCAAGAGTATGTGTTTGTGGCCTGTTTTGTTTTTGCTTCAGTTTACTTGTCTCTCATCTGTCCCAGATGTGCAGAGGGTGTCTTTCCTGTGCGGAATAGGAGATTGTCTTTCCTCCCTGTGACCGGTCTGCATTCCATCCAGCATCTTTCCGTACCATGTGTCACTGAGCCAGTGGCAAAACCCTGAAAATGCCACGTACAAAGCAAAACAACCCTAAAAACCTGAAAGGTAAGTGTTGTCTTCCGTTTGACCAGATTTCTGTTTGCTTAGGTGGTTTTTGTTGGGTCATGCCTTTTCCTTTCACAGGTGTCAGGAGGTCTCTTTTTGCGGTTAAAATGTCTGTGAACTTTCTTCATAGAAGGGAAATATATGCCTAGTTAATAGAAACGTGTAGGTTTCCCAGTCAAACTAGTACATTTATTTACGTGGCTTGGGCTATTTTTGTATATTTTTGTTCTGTGCGAAATGACCACATTAGGTGTCATTTGTAATTACCACAAATTATAATAGTTAGTCATTAGGAGACTTGTGTGAGTGAAAACTGTATGGTTTCAGTTCTATGTGTTTCAAAAAGTGTTTCTAATAATCCTATTTTGACGATTCTGTGAATACAGTTTTTTTTTCTGTGTTGATGTATTTCTTCTTAAAACAGGAAGTAGTTTTTGCAGGTGGCGTTTGAGGGAGGGACGTCCTTTTACTATAAAGTGTTTTTGTGGATCAATATTTATTGACATTTTCCGGAAGAGATGTATCTGCTTACGGTGACTTGTAGTCAATGTTTAAGAGTACACTAGCATGTAGACAGCATCTGTTTGTTTAATTACAGTGAGCAGTATTTTATATTAGAATTCATCTGTGTATTTTAATTCGTCATTTTCATAGAATTAAAAATATACTCGCTGTAGCAGAGTGTGTAGCAACCCAGATTTCGGAGTGTTTGGATAGTTATTGCTTTGAGCTTGGCCAAACAACATGAATAATTCAGTTTGATTACTGAACAGCATCCACCAGAGACGGCTGTGACTTTTCTCAATATTAGTATTATTAAGTGAAGAGAGGGACAAAAAAAAACCCCAACACAAATGTCCTTTTTTTTTCTTTTATAATAAAGACCACAGAAATTAACATGATGATTGTTTCTTGATTTAAAAGCAAGTTTATGATTTTATAAGGTTATGAAGGTGTCATTACATATTGACATTAAAGTTCTAGATTTTATTAGTAACACTTTGGTCTTGTAGAATTTATTGATCTTTAACATCCTAAATGACAAGCAGATTTTAAATAGTGCGCCATACACGCAATGAAAACCATCAGAGAAACACACATAAAACGAATGCAGTAAACATTAACTAGCCTAAATAACAGATAACAAATTACTGATTACTGATTGAGATTAGTCTCAAATTACTGATAACAAAAATTATTTTATTTTTATTTTTTTTTAAGTATTTGTATTAAATGTAATCATTTTGGATGTCACACAGAAACTTCTGGGAATGTGCTTTTACTGTCTTTCACTGTAAATTATTCAGTAATTCATTGTTTTTACTTGCAAAAACCATACATTTGAGACTATTTGACTGAAAATGGCATATAATGCAATATTGTTCAACCTTATGTTAAGGCAGATTACACACTGGAATAAAATGGAGTAACATAAGCAATTTTCACACAGAAATTGCTAGTAAATTTCACAAATAGTTACAAAGTAGCGACAAGTAACACATTGAATTAAACATGAAATTATGAAAACTGAATTAATATTTTATTGTAAAATGGACTCAAATAATCAGTTTTTTTTTAAAACTACTTTTTTTTAACAGTGAATTTATCTAACAAGTTTTACTTTAGCATTTTTTTCTGTGAAAACTACAAAAAAAATAAATTTTTACAGTGCGTTAATAAGAAGGTAAAAGCCGTTTTGGAGATAGTCAAATACTTTATTTAACTTTAATCTTCTCCAGAACAAATACGTTTTAGTGACGTAGGGCCTATTTCTCAAAGCCAAGGTTGCTTTAAATGTTTCTGTGATCACAGCAAGGAAATGCACCAAGCATGTCGGTACACGCAGAAATTGAGCTTCCATGATGCATGACGTTTCTGTGGAATCCCAGACATTTCCTTGTTACCAAGAAAGCCCCCACCTCAAAGTCCAGCCACAATTGATGCCATTTCATGTTCAAAAGCGAAGTTCCTTGTCGTTTATGATATCGAAACTCAATATTTTGTAAAGAATCAAAGTGCAATTCGAATGCTGAAATGCAATAAAAGTTACATTTTAAAAATATTGTTTATTTTTGGACTCGATAGTATTGAATAGTGTGGCATTGGGTGTGTGAATGAAAACGGCTGTGCAGCAATGTTTTGAAAGAACATAAAGTATGAAAGAGAAAGAAAAATACTAGAACCAGGAACTAGAGGATTCCCTCCTTTGTGTTGGGCGGCTGTGTTATTGGTGTCGTGGATACAGAGGTGACCTCTGTCTATCAGCAGAACACACCCATTCTAAAGCATGTCATAATCGAGTCAAGACGGTCAAAGCTTAAAAGCATAAAGCTTTCATTGTTCTTTGAGGTTGCTGTGTTTCCAGGCTGTGTTTACTGTTAGGTAGCGTGGTGAAATCATTGCTAGGCACATACCCAGCCAACATGTCAGTCTGCGTTTTGTTGTCATGCATGTGCGACTCGTGACTTCAGAGCAGAGCAGGAATGCTTCAGTGACGCAGTTTGAGGGTAAACGGGCAGGAAGTAAGGAACCTCTAACCCCCATTGGACTCAGTATGTTTACTTTTCTGAAACAGCTGGTCTCCAAGCACACATTGCTCACATTACGTCGTTGTCGACCCTTAAGTCACCTGTTTTTCTATTTACAAAATTATTAACCATTGAGGGACAGTGTTGGAGCCAAAGATAAGAAATATTTTTTATGCTTTTAAACCTTTTTAACAGTATTTTACCCTTACTAACTAAAGGAATAGTTAATTTTATTTGTTTACGCATCCTCAAGTTGTTCCAAACCCTTATGACTTTCTTTCTACAGTAGAAAAAAACTTCACAAAGGTCTTTTTTAAATGACACTTCACGTTAACCATCGTTTTTAGCTCCAAAACAGTCCAATTTTTGACTCCGTATTAGTGAATTATTTCCTCACAGAACGCTATCTTACTGTAGAAGACATGAAATGTGCAATAGTAGTCATTTAGACTGCTTTATTGTGTTTATTTGAAGCTTATCGGGTGTAGCCGCTTTTGTGCTGTTGTTATGTAGTGTAAAGCTGTGTGAAGATTCTTCAAAAATTCCCTTTTGTGTTTCATGGGAAACAAATTACAATGTGCAGGTTTGGATTGGCATGAGGGTGAATAAATAATCACTGAGTTTTAATTTTTGTGTGAATGATTGTGAAGTGAAGTGAATTTAAAAAGGTTAAAAGCAGCCTTCTTTTTGTTAGAATGTTGTTCCTTTTTATGAGTGTTTTGTTAAATATAATGAAAAATCCGTACAGTAGTGAGTTTTCCGCTAGTAAACGTACCGTGAAAGGAGCACAAGGTGTTGAAAAGCTGGAAAAAGCATTTCTGGTGGAAAGTCTTGAAGTCATGAAATTCCAAAGTCAGTTTATTGTTAATTTAGCTGTTAAGGGGTTTTTCTGAGTGCATGACTTTATATACTTATACAGTTTAAATACTATTTTGGGGTACATAAATACAGTAAAAGCAGTAATAATGTGAAATATTATTCCAATTTAAAATAACTATTTTCTATTTAAATATATTTTAACATTTATTCCTCTGATACAAAGCTGAATTTTTAGCATCATTACTCCTGTCTTCAGTGTCACATGATCCTTCACAAATCATTCTAATTTGCTGATATCCTATTATTAATAATGCTGAAAACATGCTATTTTAGTAGAATAAAGCACATTTGTTTGAAATACAAGTCTGCTGAATATTATGAATTTACTGTCCTTACTGTTTACCATCCTTGTTTTTTTAACAGTTCGTAGAAGTCCAATTTGTATGTGTGCAAATCATTTTGTTGGGATTGCCTAGGAAAAAACAAAACTGTGGTTACCAAAACAATGTAAATTAGTCACGTCCTGGTGTCTGCTTCCTTTTAACATGTTATGCTTTTCTGCAGAATACATGAGTTGTTTATTTGCATGCAGAAAGACCGTAAAGTACGCTCTTTAGAAATGTGGGAGTATGTTGAATGTCGGACCACGTTGCACCATAACATTTTAGAGTGGTATTGTTGGCACAGTGACCGTAGGTGGGAAAATTGCGGCATGCCTCCTGCGGGCCTTCCTTTACTTCCCATTTCTAAAGCGCCCATTAAAACGTTCTCTGTCTGAGACATTGAATCAACCTGCTCTCAGTCTAACACACTTCGCCCACGTGCAGGTGGTGCGGCTCGCAGACTGTTGCAGCTTGTGTTGGTGGTAGATGACCGCAGAACGCTGAAATGGAAAAGCCCTTTTTAGTGCAACACACGCTCAGTAGTTGTACAATACAGACGCTGGAACGTCCCTTTGAAGCTGCAGGGGTAAATGTTTTACCCAGAATGCCCGTCTTGACTGCGTGACCCAGAAAACCTGTTAATAATCGACTCTGGGGTTAGTTTGCTGACCTCTGTGGAGTCCAAGTGTGCGCGGGGTGTGATTGTGTAACCCGGACCGGCGTTACCTGATAATCTCAGGTGTCACGTGCATTGGGCTTCTCACGGCCATGATGGATGGGTCCATAGATTCAGAGATGTCACTTTAAATTGTTTTTGTGGCAGATGCCACTGTTTCTGTTTCAATTCAGTCTGACTTCTCCGTTGGCGCAGGATGAGACTAGCCTCCTTTAGGAATAACGTGGAGGAGAGACACGCATAGTAGCGCTGTCGAGTGTTTCTCATGGTTTATGAGGTGGGGGAGGTTGATTCGATGTCCTCCTGCATGGCTGAGCCAAGTTTGACGTAAAAAAAAAACTCTCTGTAGGAGTCTATATATCTATAGACACACAGTATATGATTTTGGGTTTGACATTTCAGCAAGCTAAAAAAAGCTTTTTGTCACTCTTAGATCCTTCTATACAGGCTGCTTTTGTTGACGCATTTAAACACCCTCTTTACATATGAAATGATTAACAGCAGTTTGCTACACTTATGTGCGGTTTGCTGGTTTGCTGTGAGTAAAATTTAAGTTCTGAAAGTACAACAAACTGTTTTATTTCAAAAGGTCAA